CCCCGTGCTGTCTCCCGCGGGGCGCCCGGAATCGCCGTAATGCCCGACTGCCACAGCCGCAGGCGGTGACTCAGCTGTGTTGGCTGCTGTACAGAAGTGCAACCCTTCTGAAATTAAAACTCTTGTCAATTGCTACAAGGAAGTAATTAATCTGAGCAAACGCACTGGGCCTTGCGGTTCTGTTACCTTTCTGTACTTTGTCTTTGCTCAGGCTGCTCTTAAAGACTGGTTTTTGACACGTGAGGGAATGTGGCGACGCTTGAAGTGTCCCCTTGGTGTATGAGACAGCGCTGTGTTGCATGGAAGGACAGGGTGTGCGAGGAGCATCCCATCACGTGGTGGGGGAACATCTGGGGTGGTCAGTCACAGCTGGTGAGCGTGCTTTCCCGCTGAGCAATGCTGCGGCTTCCCTCTCACCCGTGACTCCATGTGCCCCAGCACGCAGCTCATCGGCCAGGCCAGCCACCCCGGGCACGGGGGGTTTGGGGGACCGCAGTGCTGTGCTGGGAGAGGTGGGGGTCGCGAGACAGCCCACAGGTTATTCCTCCCCTTGCAGGGTCTGCGCATGGGTGTTCCGGTGCGGTGTGGACCCCTGTGTGCCGTCGCTGCCTTGAGGAGGATGCAGTGGCGTGAAACGCAGTGCGAAGGAGGGCAAAGTGCTGGTCGAGGAGGCAGAGCAGCTGCCGTGTGCGGGAGTCTAAAATGCCAGGGGCTTTTTAGTGTGGAGGGGAGAAGGTTGCTGGAGCAGTAGTAGAGGTTTGCAGAATGAGAAGGCAGTGGATGAGCTGAAAACAGAGTTGTTCATCGTCACCCACCAAATGAGAGCTGGGGACACCCGGTGAAAGGGCGGTGCAAGGGGTGGCTTTAGAACAAGTGCGTTCCAATGCAGCAGGCAGTGAGCTTCAGGGGCCTCCTCCCGTGGGAGCTGTCGCGAAAGGCTGTATCGGTGGGCTCAAAACCAGTCTGGGGCTAACCAAGGTGAACAGACGCGGGGCCGACAGGTCTCTGAGTGTACGAAGCAGTAGAAGGGATGGGCAGGAGGTACCCTGGGGTACTTAGTAGGTGCCGCAGCCCGACCCCCCTTAAAGCGTATCTCATGTTCCGAATTTTCACTTTACACCGGGTGGGTTGGCATTTCCTAACGTTGCCATAGAACCTTAGAATGACTGAACAGTGACACAACCACCGCAGTGTTTGTGGTGTGCAAGGAGGGGGTAGGTTGTAAAAATTCCCATGGAATATCAGTGGAGAGCTTCACGTGTGTCTGTGAGCATCTTCCACTGCAAAGCGTCGCTGCTGTCGTCTGGGGCCTGAACTTGTGGGACGTTCCTCAGAGGCACCATCTGCCCTGAGATTGGAGGCCGTGAGGTACAGGCCTGAGGCTCTTCCAAAAACTTAATGCTGTGGCGTAAGGGTGGGCTGAGAAATCGAACTGTAGGATCCTGTTTTAAAAACGTCAGCCTTGTGTGAAAATCAAGAAATCACGGTTTGGGTGTTACTGTTGTCCATAAGCAAGTTCAGCCTCAGCGAGAAGCTTGAAACATCAGAATTGTTCCACCGAATGTCCCAGGCACGAAAGGAAGGGTGTTACCAACCGAGAGGTGCACAGGATCGAGTCCGTGCTGCTCAGGAATTGCCTGGCGCAGTTTGTGACATTCAAGTAGGAGGGTGTGTTTAAAAAAGGAAAAACATTTGGAAGGTACTTCTTAGTCACCATAACGCAAATGCTCGCATACTTTTTATAGGGTCTTATCTTGATTGAGCCCAGCAAGAACTCCCAGAGAGTCCTGTTCTCCAGTGCCTCCGTGGGAGCAGTTTTGTCTGTAAAAATGATTAACACGTTTTGGCACTAAAACTTAAAACCCTTTTGTTTTTTCTAGACTGTGGTCCCTTTTATTTTTCTCGTGGTATTTGCTCGCCCGGTGTCCTTGTGAGCTGCACCTGTGCGAGCTGCTGGCGAGGTACTGCCGTTGTCTGTTGGAAGCTGCAACAAAGAAAAGTGCTGCGTATTTAATATCCGGAAGAAGAGGGCTCTCCTCCACCTCCCTCGCTCCCACCTACCGTAGCCTGGGGCCTTACCAGCAGTTCTTGCCTTAGTTCTCAGGAGCCTGTCCTCAAAATATGCAGTAGCAGGCGATATCCCACTGCTGCTTCCCAGCCCTTCGCGTCATCTGCTTCTTACTTTTTATTCATCCATCCTCCTCTTGTCCAGTGACGCATCTCAAATTTGTCTTTTGACAAATTTCATAGACGAGCTCCGTGGTTTTCTATTACGGTCAGCAGAGAAAGCTTTAAATAGCGTCTCCGCCCCGACAGGGCCTTCAGATTTCTTTTGTAATTTCCTTCTGACTTCACATTTCATTTTTCAGAAGGTCTTTTGCTGCCTCCGCTTTGGCTGCGGGGGTTTTATAGCTCTGACAACTCCGTTGTCCTCTCCGGGTATTTCCTGCATGCTCCACTCTCAAAAATCTAAATGAAGACCTTCTGTTAGGAAGTTTTCACTGACTGCTACATCTTTAGCATTTCTGTGAGAATTCGTGTTAATGCCCTGCAGACTGGCGGTGTCAGACCGGAGGGCCTCTGCTGTTCACTGCTCCCGTAGGTGCAGGCACTGTCGTGCTGTCCTCCAACGACACGGTACGGACCTCACGAACTAGCTGAAAATACGCATTGCCAGACACCGCCATTCCCTGCGCTGCTCTCCAGCGCTGCAGGGTGGAGATGAGATGGACCCCCCACCTCAGAATAAGGAATTTTTCATCCACCTCAGTTGTGTTAATTACCTTCTACTTACCTTCTTTTGATTCCATGGTCCGCGTCGTGATCTTCACTGAAAACTGAAGCACTGGTTTAATTCTTGCCCCCCACCCAGATAATTTTGCTGTATCACATCTTTTTAAACGCTTTTACAATCTTCATGGAATTTCTTGTGGAAAACGTCAACCCGTAGTGCTAAATAGTGTGCTCCTCAGCAGAAAACCACTGCAGAATGTCCAGTGTGTGCTGATCTCAGCCTGGGTATTTCAAGTTCAGCCTCCACTTTACAAAATAAGGAGTATTCAGACAGTGTGAACTCGCCTTCCACAGTGACACCAGGAGCCTCCTCTTGCAGTCTTGCTTTATGCAACCTGGGGGTGGAAAGATGCCTAAAACTACGTCATTTGAATCCAGAGGTGAAGGTGGTGCTGCCTGGGAGCACACACGCTCCCCCAAAGTTAGTCTAGTGTGGTAAGTGGTTACGGGAACCCTTGCAATGAATGCTGTGAGCTGGAGAAACCATGGATGCAGCCTGATTTTTTTTTTTTTTTTTTTTTAGTCATTTTTTGCTTACAGTCAATAACAAGTCACTATTTTCTGTTGCTTTTTGGCAATATTTGAGTTTCTTACTGGAAAGTTTACTACCTGTTCTTGTTCGTAGTCACCAATACATACTTTTGGAAACTTTCAGAAGGGTGAGATTTTCAGCACTTAAATTACAGAGTTGCACAAAGAGGTCAAAGGGCTGAGAGCGAGCCTGGAACTGAACGCACTGTGCTGAGATTTCAGGCACTGGGACAGGCTGCCCAGGGCAGTGGTGGAGTCCCCATCCCTGGAGGGGTTCAAAAGATGTGTAGATGTGGCACTTCAGGACATGGTTGTGTTGGGGTGACAGTTGGACTTGATGATCTTAGAGGTCTTTTCTAACCTGAATGATTCTATGAGATGTGCTGTCCTTTCTGTACCCTCCTGCCAAAGCAGAGCCTGGTTTTGTTTGACTGGTGGGTGCTGATGGGACACGCTTGTACTGTAAATGCACGGACATAAACCGGCAGGATCCCCCCTCTGCTCTCATTCCGCTCTCCCTAGCACCCCTCCTGCCCTGCCAGAGGGAAGGGACGGGGGACAGGGGCCAGCTGCGGGCAGTTCTTGTCTCGCTGTTACCAGCGGGTCTCTTCTCTTTCTCTGGGAAGTGATGGACCATCTGCACATTTGCTCTTTTGGGGGTCTTCACGACAGCACCAGTGGTGCACCCTGCGTAGGACCTTCTGCTGTGGCCTGAGGCAGCAGCAGCGTGTCCTGCTGGGCCTGGGGCAATCATCTACTGCCTTCAGGTGCTCAGGCTCTTGTGGGCAGTCGGAAGACATGGGCTTCTTCTCTTGTCCTGGAACTTCTGTAGCTGCAGGGATGTAGGATGGTGAAACACTGGCACAGGTTGCCCAAAGAGGTGGTGGAGGCCCCATCCCTGGAAATATTCAAGGCCAGGTTGGACGGGGCTCTGAGCAACCTGGTCCAGTTGAAGATGTCCCTGCTCACTGCAGGGGGGTTGGGCTGGATGACCTTTACAGGTCCCTGCCAACCCAAAGCATTCTATGATTCTGTGATTTTATGTACAGAAACACAGGGATGTGCAGAAACTCAGACCTGCAAGCTGAAATCTGGTGGCATTTTAGGGGCAGTAGATTACAGCCAGGGGCAACAATCAGGTTGCCAAACCACTTCACTTAAAAACAGTAATGGCCTGTGCAGCCCCGCACCGAGCGGTGCGGTGTGCTTGTCAAGCTATGGGCGAGTCGTGTTCGGCTCCCAGTAGTGGCTGGGAACCTGTCACCCTCCTCAGTGGTTCAGGGACATCACAGAGTCACCATGAGGGCCTCTGCAGTGCTTTCTGTGGGGTCAGGTGGGGTCTGCCTGGCTCAGCACCGTGGCGGGGGGCAGCCAGGGCAGGCTGGGTCTGGCC